GTACTAGTAGTAATAGTAGTAGTAGTAGTAGTAGTAGTAATAGTAATAGTAGTAGTAGTTGTAGTAGTAGTCGTCGTCGTCGTCGTAGTAGTAGTAGTAGCAGAACTCGTAGTAGTAGTAGTAGTAGTAGTAGTAGTAGTAGTAGTAGTCGTAGTCGTAGTAGTCGTAGTAATCGTAGTAGTAGTAATAGGAGCAGTAGTAGTAGTAGTAGTAGTAGTAGTAGTAGTAGTAGTAGTAGTAGTAGTAGTACTAGTACTATTACTAGTACTAGGACTAATACCAGAACTAGTACTAGTACTAGTACTAGTACTAGTACTAGTAGTGATAATAGTAGTAGTCGTTGTCGTTGTCGTAGTCGTAGTCGTAGTTGTAGTAGTAGTGGTAGTGGCAGTAGTAGTAGCCGTGGTAGTAGTGGTAGTAGTAGTAGTAGTCGTCGTCGTCGTCGTCGTCGTCGTCGTCGTCGTCGTCGTCGTCGTCGTCGTCGTCGTCGTCGTCGTCGTCGTCGTCGTGGTCGTGGTCGTGGTCGTAGTCGTAGTGTAGTCGTAGTCGTAGTCGTAGTAGTCGTAGTCGTAGTCGTAGTCGTAGTCGTAGTCGTAGTCGTAGTCGTAGTCGTAGTAGTAGTTAGTAGTAGTAGTAGTAGTAGTAGTAGTAGTAGTAGTAGTAGTAGTAGTAGTAGTAGTAGAGCAGCGAGGTCCCTATGGTACAGCGGCTGCGCGCACCCCAGCGGCGGCCGCGGTGGCCTGGCGGCGGCCGCGGTGGCTTGCCCACCGCGCTGGCCGCCGCCCGAAAGCAAGCAAGCCTCGACGTCCCGGCACTCGGGTCGGGGCCGCCCAGAAGGGGCTGGAGCATCGTGGGCGGCAGGCACGGAAGAGGAATGACCTTTCGGAGGTCCGCGCGGATTTCTAGGATCCCCTCGGATTTCCTGTTTCGGCGCTGGTCCCCCGCGCTCCGCGCGCCACGAGATGGGGCTCCAGCGTCGAAGACCGAGAAATCCGCGCGGACCTCCGAAAATTCATGATCATTCGTAGGACGAAGCCAGGACGAGGATAAATTCGGGTGAGGATAAATCGAGGATCTATGAGATCTAGCGGCTCTGGAGGATGTCTCGGGCGCCGTGGCCTTCTCACAGCGTTCCAGAACGCTCCCAGAGCGCTCCGGAACGCTCTGGAACGGATTTCTCCTCGTCCCAGCCCCGCCCAAATCCAGTCTTGGTCTTCTCCAGAGGTTCTCCAGGGGGAAACCCTGCATCCAAACATTTTGACACCGCCCGGGAGCGCAAATCTTTGACCCGCCGCCTCCTGTCGGCCCCCGCCGGCGGAGCCGCCCTCGGTTCTTGATCCCGCCGCCCGCCGCTGCATCGGCGCTGCATCGGCAACGCCGGGACGGAGAATACCGAGTTCTGGAACGCCCTGCATCGCCGCTGCATCGGTCGGGGTGCTGCGCGATCCTCCGACCCCATCCCCAAAGACATGCGCTCCGTCTCTTTGTCCGTGCGCGGTCTCCCATGACGCCCCGATGCGTTCCACAGGGCCGGCTCTTCGTCCCCGGTCGTTTCCTTGACGACCCCGAGGCCCGGCGAGGGCCCCCGAAGACCGAAGACGGCCCCAAACCTCCCGCGATGACTTGCTACCCTGCGGCGCGAGCACGTCTGGGCCTGCTCCGGCCTCGTGCGGGCGGCCTGGAGGCGCACGCAGGGACGCCCCGGCGCACACCGCCACCACCGTGCCGTGCTCGGGCCCTCCCCGAGGGCCATGCCCTCGTGCGCGTGACGCCCTCCGTGCCTGGGCGAGGACAGGTCGATATAGACCGTCCTGTAGGGCAGGATTGCCGTGGCCGGGCGTGGTGGCGGTGGTGTGTGCAGGATCCCCATGTGGCCCGAGAGAGGAGAAGACACAAGTGCACAATCACGCAGTCGGACCCAGGGCAGAATGACATCCGCCAAGAGCATGAGATCCTGCGCCGGCCAACATGAAGAGCATTCGAGAGTGCCCTCCACCGGGATGCACGAGAACCTCCAGCACACACGAGGAACGCTAGGATACCCTCCCGCACCGACCTCGATCGTGTACCTCGGTCCGACTGTGAGCCTTCGGACTTCTCTCGGACGTCTTGGTCCGGCACGGGGCCCCACTCCCCTGGCGCGCGGCGAGCGCCAGGGACGGCGCCAGAGGCGCCGTCCCAGGGGGCCCAGCGCCGATCCACGACGGCCGCGCCAAGCTCCGGACGCTCCTGCTTCTGCCGTGCGCCTTCGCCGCGCACGAAGATGAAGGGGCCCTGGGACACACAAATAAATGCACACAAATAAAAGGATTCCCCATATTTTCCAATATTTTCTGGGTCTCTGTCTTCCCCCCCACTTCCCATCTTTTCCCATATCTTCTGGGGAATCGAGGATTAACTGCGTCTGTGTGTTTCTTTTCCTCCTGAGAAGAGCGCCCCCGCAGCAGCCCGGCAGCACCCGCTGATCCCCGGGGGTGCGGCCGGCGCGCGCGCCGTGCAGGGCCGCACGGCGGCAATTTGCTGCCAGAGGCCGGCAGCGGCGGCCCGGGTGCCGAGGGGCAGCCGAGGCCGCGGCCGCCCCGCGGCGCCGCCGGCACAGCGAATTAACAGCAGGGCTGAGCGGTCGGCATCGTTGAGCCGATCCCCACCCCCATCTCCATCGCCTTCGAGATTCCCACCCACTTGCCACCCCAGTTGGGGATGCAGCCCTCGCCCGAAGAGAACGACCTACATCCCCATCCAGGGCCAGGGGGGTAAATCGGCCAGCGGGGCCCAGGCCACGCCGCTGGGGATGGGGATCGGTTCAACGATACTCAACAGCGAGGAGCTCTGCGGCAGGAGCGAAGACTGGCCGAACTGACAGCGGAACCGAAACGGACCGGAATCGACAGGCCGCAAGCAGCGCAGAAGGGCGCGGCGGCGCGGCAACGACGCAACGACCGACCGAGCGCAAGCGACTGCGACGTCGCCGAACCGGCCGAACCGCGCTGCGGGCGTCGCCATGGGCACAACCAATGACATACTGCACACCAGCTCTGAGGTCTGCGCGGATTTCTCGGATCGGCGCTGGACCCCCCTCCCTGGCGTACGGAGCGCGCCAGGGGCGGCGCTGGAAGCGCCGGCAGGGGGCCCCAGCGCCCCAGCGGGGATCCGAGGAACCCACGTGGACCTCCGAGTGCTTATGCTCATGTCGTGGTTCCCCCAGTCGCAGGCAGATCACGGCGGGCGCTCGACTCGAGGGTGCTGGCCTCTCTGGGGGCCCGCTTCGGGCCGCAAGGGGGGGGGCATCAGAACCCTGACCTTCCAGAGAGCTATTTTTAGCACTGGAGGCCTAAAAACCTAAAAAGCGGAGCGGAGCAGCATAAAACCAAGACGTAGAATAGCTTTTGGATAGGTTTTTAAGTCGGGTGTTATTTTTGAGCCCTCCTGGAAGGTCAGGGAAGTTCTCAGACCCGACGACGAGGGTGACGCCGGGAAGTTTGGCGTTTTCGGACGCACGGTCCTGGCACCCCGGAAAACGCCCTCGGCGACGCGCAGCTGCTGGACAGCACCCCCGGCGAGAAGACTTCTGGGAGCCCCCCGGACAACGACTGCCCTCATCTCTGGCGGCGCGATCAAACTGCAGAATGCAACCGAGAAAAAGTCACGACTTGAGACCTGGAGCCCAGCGCCCGACCGATCTGCGATGGCCCCCGGCGTCAGGCCGGGCGAAAGCGCCCGCCGTGAGCAGTGATGTAGCGCCTGGATCTCCAGGGACACGGGGGACGACGGCTTTCGGGCCACAACTCGCGTCTCCAGCGGCCGTCTGGGGCGATCCGGGCACCCCCGGAGATGCCCTCGGCGAGGCCGTTCGGGACGATCTGGGCAGCCCCAGATCGCCTAGGGCGAGGCGCAACTGCTGGACGACCGCAGGCGCCGCCGCGAGAGCCCGCGCCAAGGGCAGGAATGGTCATCCTCGAAGCGTCGGATCGAACCGGAATGAACATCGGATCGGCATCGGCACGGCGCCGGCATCGCACCGGACCGGCTGCGCCATGCTGCGCCAGGATGCACGACGGCGCCATGCAAGCATCGGGGCCGCCTCGGATCGCGTCGGGGCATCGGAGTCGCACCGATGGCCGAGATCGGGCTGTAGGAGACCACCTGCGAACCCTACCCTACCCCCCACGATTTCTGAAGGGGAGGGTGGGGTTCACTTGGTTCGGGAGCTCTCGAGCGAAGTGAAACCCACCCTCCCCCTCAGAAATCGTGGGGGGTAGGGGTAGGGTTCGCATGTGGCCCCCTAGGCTGGCCGACACCGAGGGCCGACATCGAGGCCTGGACCGAGCTGGGCGGCAGCGGCGTCGAGCGGATCGGACCGATCTCGGCGCGTGGTGGGCCCTGCCCAGGCCGCGGCGGGGCGCCCCGCGGAGGGGCGCCTCGCCGAGGGGCTCGGGAGGGGCGGCCTCGCGCGGGGCGCGGCCTCACGCGGCCGCGGCGGCCGCGGCAGGCGCCGCGGCCTCGGCGGCGGGCTCCGCCTCGCGGGGAGGGGCAGATGGAGGCATCGGGCAGGTGTCAAGGGGGGGGGGGCCTTGCGACGGAGCTGGCCCCCCCCCCCCCGCCCCCCCCCCCCCCCCTCCCTCCTCCTCCCCTCCCCTCCTCCGCCCCGCCTCCGCCTCCGCCTCCGCCTCCCCCCGCCCCCCGCTGTGGAGGCGCTGTGGGCGGAGGGCGGGCTTGGAAGCGCCGCCGCCCCTGGCCCGCGCGCCGAGGGCCGCGCGCCGGGCGTGCTCCGCGGAGCCACGGAGCAGAGACCGCGAAGCTGGCGGCACGCCTGCGCGCGAGGCCCGTGCACCGGTGCCGAGCAGGAGGGAGGTCGGCTCCCGCAACGGCGGGGGACCGCGCTCGGCCGCGGACGCTCCCAGCCAGGGCGCGGAGAAGGCGCCGTGGGCGGAGGGCGAGCTTGAGAGCGTCGCCGCCCTCGACCGTGCGCTGGCGGATCGCCTCCAAGAAGAGCGCCGCCTGCTGACCTCGAGGAGGAGTGGGGCGTTTTCCTGGCGGCGTCCGCCCAGTGCGACTTCGCGGAGATGACGGCGGCCATCGGCGAGGCGCGGTGCGAGGACCTGTAACTACGCGCTGGTCTGAGGCCGCAACGGACGCGGTTCCCAGGAGCTGAGGCGCTCTAGGTGCCCGCTCGGGCCGGCCTGGTGAACGTCACCCCCCTCTCCTCCTTTCTGGAGTTGCGCACCTCCTTCCCCCACTCCTCCCCGATCTCCCTCCTTCCCCTCCCCCTCCTCCTCCCCCTTCCATTCCTTCTCCTCATAGGTAACTCCTCCCTGTCGCATCCCGAGGCCGGTCGAACGGGCGGGCAAGGCGTTTCGCCTGAGACGTCCTCACCGACTACGAACCTGAAGCTTCAACATTGGCAACAGCTTCACAGGTAGAGGGCGGGCGGTTTTCAAAATGTGGCTCTCGCCGTAGCACCGCGCACACTCGTGTAAAACATGGACGGGGCTTCATGGATGTAGAGCGGGTGGTTTTCAAAATCAGGCTCTCGCCTTAGCGCCGCGCACACTGTCTTAAAACGCGCAAGACCTTCACGGATTGAAGGCTGGCCGTCTTAAAAATGTAGCTCTCGCTGTAGCGCCGCGCACACTCGCCTTAAAACTGCAAGAGCTTCACGGATTGCGGGCGGTTCCTTTTCAAATTGTAATTCCCGCCTTAGCGCCGCGCACACTCGTCTGAAACATTCGCAAGAGTTTCGAGGATTCCAATGGTCAACGTACCAGACATGGCTTTGGCAACAGTTACATTGATTCGCGGTGTTGAAGTCCTCGGAACTGTGTTCTGACACGATGCAGGATCGTCAAGACGCAACTATCATTTTGATTCGTGGCGTTGGAATCCAGCAAATGGTGTTTTGGCACGCTTCAGGGTCTTTATTAAGCGGTTGTCTCCCAACGGGGCAGTTCCCTCAGTGGAAATAAACCCTCGTAGGGGCCAATGAAGAGGGAGCTGGGAGGGAGGGTTTATTCCAATATCGTTGGTGAGCCTTGGCTTTACACTGGTCCTCCTCCTCCTCCTCCTCCTCCGATCCGCTGAGCCCCCTTCCGCCCGATCCGAGCTCCCTGGCCGGGCTCATCCTGGGCCCAGGCTCGGCCTGGCCCAGATCGGTGCAGGTGTGCAGCGTCAGTGCACATAGCGTGGAGTGTACGACCGAACCTGTTTTTTGAGACGTTATTCCCGAACCTGGCAAACCAGGCAGTGGCAGGGAGGATCGGGCCTGGATTTTTGTTATAAGAAAACTGTACATGCGAGCGACTTTTCATCCGATGCTTCTGTGCAGTGCCATTTCGGCTGAAGAGCCCCTGGGGGGCGAAAGCTACCTGCGCGCAGGCTTGATAGTCCTTTCGATCGGGGGACTTCATGCCCTCCGACCTCGGCCACGGGCGGCGGCGGCGGCGCGCGGTCCTTCAGCTCCGCGAACGCCTGGAGCGGGCCCTCCTCGGGAGAGGAACCGAGCGGCGAGAGCATCACTTCTCGGAGGTCCGTGCGGATCTCTTGGATCGGCGCTGGACCCCCCCTGGCGGCGCCTCCGACGCCGCCCCTGGCGCGCGGAGCGCGCAGCAGCGGGGCGTCCAGCGCCGACGCAGGCAGTCCGCTCGGAACTCCGACAATTCTGTGCCGGGGCCGCTTCTTGCTCTTCCATCCTTGAACTCGGTGGACGCCGCCTCCGCAGGATCAGGTAATAGGGGAACAAACAATGACATAAACATAAATTCTCGGAGGTCCGCGCGGATTTCTCGGATCGGCGCTGGACCCCCCTCCCTGGCGCGCGGAGCGCGCCAGGGGCGGCGCCGGAGGCGCCGCCAGGGGGGTCCAGCGCGGATCCGAGAAATCCGCGCGGACCTCCGAGTTTTTGTGTTCATGCCACTTTTTGTTTCCCTAGGTAAGACGCGGCCGGGGCCGGGGCAACCACGGACGGGGGCAAAGAGTCGAGGGCTCTCTGAGATTCGGCGGTTCTGAAGCGCTGGGCGCCACGGCCGTTCCACGGCGCTCTCCGGAACACACGCTGTGACTGTGTGCTCCGGGGCGCCCTGGGAAGACCCATTCCGGTCCCAGGAAATGCAGGAGGAGGTGGAGGAGGAGGAGGAGGAGCAGGAGGAGGAGGAGGAGGAGGAGGAGGAGGAGGTCCCGCCCGAATCGGTCAGCACTGCATAGGGATGTCGTGCCAGATCGGAGTGTGCGTCGGGTCGGGCCGACTCGGCGCGGGGTCGGCATTGGCTCGGAGCGGCCGCGACAGGATGCCAGACCGCGCCGTGCAAGCCTCGGGCTGCACCGGATCGTCGGCGCATCGGACATCGAGTCGGATCGGGCTGGTCGGATCGGATCGATCAGAGCGAAGTGGACACCGCGCCTCTGCGGCATCGCTCTCCTTCTGCGCCTTCTTCACCACAGCCTCCTGCTGCTTGGCGGCCGCCCTGGCCTCTTTCACCCTCTTGTCGCCCGACTTCTCGGCCTCCTCAGAGGCACAAGCAAAAACGTGAGCCCAAGCTTTCTCGGAGCTCCGCGCGGACTTGCCAGATCGGCGCTGGACCACCCTTCCCTGGTCCGCAGAGCGCGCCAGGGTCGGCGCCGAGGGCCCCGCTGGAACCCAGCGCCGATCCAGCAAATCCGCGCGGAGCTCCGAAAGTTGATTCTTGTGACCTCTTCTTCTTCGCCCCCTGACGAGGGAGACAAGAAGAGAACCGCCCCTGCTGCCGAGAAGCCAAGCCAATCGAAGACACCAGAGGGCCATGGTCCACAAGGGTCTTTACTCGGTAGGTTGCCCAAATCTGGCCATCGCTCGGACGCCCATTCCCTGTGCTGTTTTCGGTTTCGCGCGTGGTTTTTTCGCCAAATGATCGAGGATGCTCCTCGATGGTCATCGCCGAAGGAAAAATGCACACGTCCGAGCGATGCCAAGACCCCCAATGACTCCTGGGCCTCCGCCAAGAGCTTCTCGCTGGCCTCCAGGGCCGACTTCGCCGCCTCGGCCGCCTGCTCCGCCGACGCGACCGCCGCGGCCCTGCTCTGCTTGGCCCCCTCGCACGCGGCGAGCTGCTCGCCGAGCCCGGCCAGGGCCGCGTCCACCGCGCCCTGGAGCAGCTTCACGACGAGGCCATCGAACGTGCCACGCTCTCCTCGGAAGAACGGAGGAAACGGCAGAAGTTGGCGGCGCGCAGAGGGGGGTAGGGGCAGGGAAGGAGGCTTCTTAGAAGGGGGCTGCTTCTTAGAAGGCGCTGGCCTCACATGTATAGAGAAGGCCCGCGCCTTCT